CTCACCGGCTCAAGGTTGACTCAGCCTTCCGTCCTTCCGAGGTGGGTGAAATGAGGACCCAGACTGTGGGGGCGATATGCTGACTCTGTAAACCGTTTGTTGAAAGCCCTGTGAAGCGGTATATAAGTCTAACTGCTATTGCTATTGCATTGTATCCGTCCAACCTTCAGTTGATACTTCGCACAAGGTTTGATGAGTGCCACTGCTGTTTGTACTACAGTTACTCTAATAATGTGTTTTATGGAATTGTATTGCATTTTAAAAGACTTTTATAATTGCAGTTTTTTATATTCTATCATTGTGGCCCCCAGGCCTTAGCAAAGATTTGATTGATTTTTCCTTTCTGTTTGTGCGTTTATCGATTGATTGATTTGTACAAGCCACACATTTTCATAAAATAAGGAAAAATAACTTCTTTTAAACAGACATCCTCATTGCAATGTACCGTAAACTGTCTTTTTTCTTCATGGTTAGATTCAACATTTATTACCTGCTTTTTCTCCTCAGCTTCAGGCCGAGAAACTAAGGGCTGGTGAAGCCCGACGTAGAGCTGACTGGGAGGAATTCATGAAGGAGCAGCATCGCCTGAAGACAATGCTCAACGAAGAGCATTCAAAAGCTATGGAGCATCTTAAAGAACAATATGCAGCTTTGGAGAAGGACCTCCCAAAACAGGCTCTCTAAGAAACTCTCTCCTGGCATTTCCCGGCAGTTTTCAAGTTTCAGGATTTCCAGCACAGTATTAGAATCTAGATAAAAAATAATAGGGACCGAAACCAAAAAGTGCTACTTAGCAATTGAATTTGGTTTCTTGCACTGAATGATTGTTTCAAACACACACGCTAAAGGTTTGGCAGCAGCAGTAACAGTATTGCACTTCAACAAACTATGTTAAGTGCACAATTTAAAGTCTATTTACCAAATGAACTAATTAGGTATGTTTTGTTTGAGTCCTTTCAATGAGCCCTCCTGTTATTTTCCCTGAAGAATTCGCTTCGGTTGGAGGCAGGGAGGGTCATAATTATGCGCAGACATACAGCAATGGCCTAACGTGTAGAGTAATAACTGTAAAAGGCCACTTAACTTGGGAGTATAATAGCCTGAAGTCTATGAATGAATTCTTTTATGTTACTAAGGTTATCAGGATAAGTTTTAAAAACCTCGAGAAAGAAGTCATTATTGCACTGAATTTGTTCTGACTGGAGAGAATGGGAGGGTATTAGGTTGGCTGTCTTTGAGGTATGTATTTATCTTATTATTCCTGTGGGCCATAACAAATAAATACTCTCGTATGTTTAATGGCCTGAAAAGCTCTGGAATAGGGTTGTGTAGATTCAAAGGCAGAGGTGGGTTCCTACCAGTTCGCACCTATTTGGTAGAACCGGTTCGTCAAATCTACCGAACCGGTTAAAAAGAGGTTCCACCAGTGGACCCGGAAAGCAGGTCATACCTACAGAAGACGTTCCAAAAAATTTTGAAACTCACCACTGCCACACACACACACACACACACACACACACACACACAGACAGACAGACTGACTGACACAGAGAGAGAGAGAAAGAGAAAGGAAAGAAAAAAGAAAGAAAGAAAGAAAGAAAGAAAGAAAGAAAGAAAGAAAGAAAAAGAGTGAGAGAGAGATGAAAGAAAAAAAAGGGATAGAGACAAAAGGAAGGAAAGAGAGAGAGAGAGAGAGAGAAAGGCCGCCAAGCCACTCCCACCAGGTCACATGGCCAGCCAGTCACTCCCACAAAGGAGGCCACACCCACAGAGTAGATTCCAAAAATTTTTGAAACCCACCACTGTTCAAAGGCAAAATGCAATGTGTAGTATTCAGTGATGTGCCTATAATATCTTCAGGATCATCTCATACTTTCCCAGGATCATGCTGCAGCTGAAAATGACACATGAGTTTTAGAAAAATCACTGCTTCTTTAAGATGTTCTTTACAGATGCTACTTTTGGCTCCACGCACATTTTGAATCCTGTGTTGCCTTGAATCCTCTATAGCCCTTCACTGAATATTTAACATTATAGGGGGTGGAGCCCTTTTGGTGAACACTGCAAATGAGCAAGTGTTCTTGCAGATCAAATTGTGTTTTACAAAGTAAACAGTATTATGGAGCATAATTAATTTGTGGGTGAATTCCATGATTTTAATAGGTATTAAATATTTGCATACTGTGGGCAAAGTTCATGGTTTAGTTCTTTGTCATTTTATCTGTAAAAAAAAAAAGCATTATTAACAAGGTGAAAGTTGAAGTAAGTTAGGCCAAAGGCAGGAAAATTGAGTGTTATTTTAAGGGGCAGTGCATAAAATAGAGAAATGTAAAAACAAAATTACCCATTATCTGTGTTGCAATTGCAAAACGCCAACAATAGGTTGCTTGTGTGAATGTATGGCTTAGTGTCAAGACTCCATCCTGACAGACTGTTGATAATGTGATTAAAGTGAGCAGAGGAGATGGAATAAGTATTTGTGATTTCTTTCAATAACACTGAACTTCTGCCAAGCTGCTCTATCCACTACTGTATAGCTGACAAGCTTCATCAATCATCATCAGGTAGCTAAACTAAAACTCCATTTGCCAACATTGAGGAATGCTGGAATGTTGTTAACTCTCTTGTGAGCTGTGAGGGGAGGGGGGCAATAGGTGACTTTAAAATATTTCTCTACCGGAGAAAGAAGAACTCCAAATGAAATCCCTATTCAGGGGGAAACAGTTTTTCATATCTGCGTAGTCCCATCTTGCTTGGTGGAAGAGTAAATTAATAAGAGTTCAAGGTTTATTACAAAAAAGGTCTTTAAGAGTTCTGTCTGTGTGCATTTAATCCTCAAAGGACTATTGACGCTCTTCCTACAATATCATTTTGCCTTGGGTATTGAATTTGGTTTTCATAACAGAATAAATTAAAGACATGGTAGCTCCAGAGCACCTCTTCCAATTTATAGCTCTGGGGGGGAAAAAAGGTGGTGGAGAAATGCCTGGTTGTGGAGTGCCTATCAGTACTAACAATGGCATCTTCATTTGTCAAAAGACAAGAATGTCAGTTCTCACTTGCTTGGCATGGCAGAGTTAAGTCAAGTCTTGTCCTTCCACTTCCTGAGTCTTCGTATATTTCCCATCTGTTACCTGTGTCAGCGTTCCAAGTATCATGTAGAATTAAATTAGTCCAGTCCCTCCATTTCCATTATGTGAGCCTTTCTAATCATATTAAGTAGTTTAATGGCTCTATAATGAACAAGATTTACATTGCAATGGAATAGCCATACTCCCATCAGGATTTATAATAGGAATCTTTTAATCTCTGTAAAAGACTCATGGTCATATAAACGCTGATAAGCAGAAGCTATCCAAGGATAGAATTTGAGATTGTGACAAAACCCCTCCTAACAGCTTGAATAATAAAATTAACAACTTCTACAAATTTCTCAAAATAATTCCTTGCTGCTGAGATCATTTTCCTTCTAGACTTTGAGGTCATCCATTTGACTTTTTCATTGTTTCCTATAATCTTCAAAGAATCACTTGGGTTTTAATATAGTTGAATACCAATAAATGCCTAACCCTTCGTCTTAAAATGTATTTAACAATTATTCACTCTTTCCTCTCTCATCCCCCACCATTATTGACTTATTTATTTGTTCATTTCATTTATATACTGTAGCTGCCCATCTTACATATATATCTCTGAGTGACTCACAATTAAAAAATAAAAAATAAACAAGTGCAAATAACAAGCATACAAAGTGTACTAAATCCATTATAAAAACTATATTGAGAGAAAAACAGTTGAAAAATTAAATGACAGTTAGAAATTTGACCCAAATTTAGTTATTTAGCTGTTCTGACCCCCTCCTCCGTCCAGTAACGAATGCCGAGACAAGCTTAGCTGGAATTCTACAGCACTTTATTAGCAGGAAACCAAAACCTCAGTGGCTGAAAGCCAAGCACAACAAACAGATAAGAACCTTGGCAGCAACTCAGACTTCGACAGATAACAGCTTCTCCAGTGTTAAGAATGAAGTTGAATCCTGCAAATCAGACTCCTCCCCNTTCTTCTTCTTCTTCTTCTTCTTCTTCTTCTTCTTCTTCTTCTTCTTCTTCTTCTTCTTCTTCTTCTTCTTCTTCTTCTTCTTCTTCTTCTTCTCGTCCTCCTCCTCGTCCTCCTTCTCCCCTCCCCCTTCCCCCTCCTCCTCCTCCTCCTCCTTCTTCTTCTGTATCTAGATCACACTGCCAGAATTAAGCCACCTTCTTGGCTTGGTCATTGACTAAAAATAAGTCATTATTGGGACATGTTTCTGGTAGTACCTGACATACCAACAGATGCACTGGATTCTGTGTTTCTCCACATTCACATAATGTATTGTTATCCACTAAGAGCCTCCTCTTGAGCATACTGGTTTGACATTTAGGCATTCCAACTCTCAACCTCTACAAGGTCCTCTAAATAGTATTAGAGTGGTCAGATCCTTCAGCCATATCCTCCTTTAATGTTATTCAATGGTCTCTTTCTTCCCTCTTTTAATTCAAATTTGTTCTTATGTACTCTCAAGAATGTTTGTTGTCATAAAACTGTTCTAGATCTGAGTCGGTGGGCTTGGGGCATATGTCCATACAGAGGATGTTGATAATCATCTAAATGAGATGCCACCATTTTTCACATTCAGTGAGGTTTGGAATGGACACCATCAAACTCATAGCAACATTCTGCACCATCTGGCCAAACTATTACTTAGAGTAAAATTGATCTAATGACAGGAAGAGCCCTAAAAACTATGCTCCTGCAGTATTCCATTTCCCTTTGGAGAGAGGAGACATCTTCTTCTTTGAGCCTCTTTACTGAATGGATGGGTCAACGGAAGGTGAGTGAAGTCAAGAATGAACTAATCCAGACTTCCACTGATGTGAGCCCAGGTAAACTTGTTTGAAGCTCATACCAGGGTTGACTCATCACCTGTTTGGAACTGTGCTGTTTATGAAACAGATGGCAGCTGGAACTTTAAAACTGATGGGTGGCACAAAAAGGCAAAATATTTTGGCTTTTACTCATTATCAGAGCCACAGGTAGCAATCTTTCAAAAGGGAATGGTGAGGGGAATGAAGGATGTGATTGGCTCAATGCCAATTATATCAGTTACAACACACATCTCCAACGGTCTCCTTTAAATTGAGTTAAATTGAGTTGCCAACCTATTCCTCACCATTCTGCTTTTCTGATTTCCCAAGGAGGTGAAGAAAGGAGAAAGGTCCAGGTTCAAATCAATGTTTGGATATGACATCATGCTGAAACTGAGATGATTAAAGCAGAGCCAAGGCAATTCAGGGACACAGAAGGTCAGATGTTGGTACTAAAACATTGGCCATGCTCACAGTACATTTAACTCTAAAGGTCAATTAAAATACACATCTGCAGAAGCAAGTTATTCCTCCTCCATTCACACTTCCCTAGGGCTTTGTAGGACTTTGACTTATCCTTTTGACAACTAAGATGTGTGGAAGAATTCCCACAATTCTCCAGCCAGCTTGGAAGATGGAATCCACAGACCTTAAAGTTGCCAACACTGCTGTCAGGGTTCCAAATAGCATCCAAAAATAAATCAGAGTCCAAGACAAAGTATTGCTCAAA